ATGCATCCCCAAGGGGGGATGTCCATGACAACCTATGACCACAGAGACTGGATTGAAAGGTGCTGCCCAGTACAGAGGTACTGTGAGCCCAGTCTGCATTATGAGGCATCCTCAGGGGACGTGTCCATGACAGCCTGGACCCTTATAGGGAGTGGGTTGAATGGTGCTGGCCCATCATTCAGCCCATGTCTGCAGTCTATGAACATCTCTTGTATTTCTGCAGTCTCTGAACATCTCTTGTATGATGCCTGCAGTCTCTGAACATCTCTTGTATTTCTGCAGTCTATGAACATCTCTTGTATGATGCCTGCGGTCTCTGCACATCTCTTGTATGATGCCTGCAGTCTATGAACGTCTCTTGTATGATGCCTGCGGTCTATGAACGTCTCTTGTATGATGCCTGCGGTCTCTGCACATCTCTTGTATGATGCCTGCAGTCTATGAACGTCTCTTGTATGATGCCTGCAGTCTATGAACATTTCTTGTATGATGCCTTCAGTCTATGAACATCTCTTGTATGATGCCTGCAGTGTCTGCACATCTCTTGTATGATGCCTGCAGTGTCTGCACATCTCTTGTATGATGCCTGCAGTCTCTGAACATCTCTTGTATGTCTGCAGTCTCTGAACATCTCTTGTATGATGCCTGCAGTCTATGAACGTCTCTTGTATGATGCCTGCAGTCTCTGCACATCTCTTTTATGATGCTTGCAGTCTATGAACGTCTCATGTATCATGCCCATAGTCTTTGACTATATCGTGTTATGTGTCTTCTGTCACTGAAACTGAATATTCACTTTTAATTTTTAATTTTTTTTTGATGTTGGGGGGGCCACGCTTGAAGCCCCCATATCAAGAAGTTGACCACCACTGCTGGTGGGCTGGCCTAGTACTATGCTGTAGCTATGCTTTTAATGATCATTTTAGTCTCCTGCAATTTTCCAGTGTAGCACCCACTAGTGTGCTACTAGAATAGTGTAGAGTATTACAGGTAAAATAATTGTTTTTGGCTCATGGTAGTTGTGTGAGTCATGTGATTGAGGTTGTTGCAGGTAAGCTGGATGACTCTACAGGTTGTGGCTCTAGTGCCTCCTCCTGACTCTGGAGGACCATAGAACCTTCCAGAAGTTGGTAAGCAGAAAGGGGTGGAGTCATAATTTGCATTTTTATGGGTGGTCCGGCCAATCCCAAGTTTGGAGGCCCTGGTAGAGTGGTGGACTGGCCTATTGGGAGAGTCAGGCTGACAGAAGATCGGGTGGAAGATGGAGTGTTGAGGAGACTGTTGGAATCTAGGAGAGGTCCCCTAGGTCTGGGCAGGGGCCAACCTCTCGGCTGGGCTTAGGCTGGCTCCAGAGGATACATTCTGCAGAGAGGCGCGGATGAGATCAGGCCTGGAGAAGCAGGGAGCAAAGAGGACATTGTGAGTACAGCAGCACACTTTTGGATCTACAAGGGGAAAGACTACCCCATGTAGCCCTCATATTCCTTCTGTACTGAAATGTATTGTAATTGTACTGTCTCCCAAATATTGTAAACTGCTGCGCAAACTGTTGGCGCTATATAAATCCTGTATAATAATACTAATAATAATAATAATGGGGCGGCACAGTGGCTTAGTGGTTAGCACATCTGCCTTGCAGTAAATGGGTCATGGGTTCGATTCCTGATGCATGGCACCTCCTGCATGGAGTTTGCATGTTCTCCCTGTGCTTGCGTGGGTTTCCTCTGGGTGCTCCGGTTTCCTCCCACACTTCAAAAGGTAGGTTAATTGGTTCCTGTCTAAATTGTCCCTAGTATGTGTATGTATGAATGTAAGTTAGGGACCTTAGATTGTACACCCCTTGGGGGTTAGGGACTGATATGAATGAATGCTACGTAAACTGACGGCGCTATATAAGTACCTGAAATAAATAATGTAGCAAGCTTTCTAGGGACAGCATTGAGCTCAATCCTTTGTCAATGTCCCAGGAGATCTTGTGAGAAGCCAGGAGAGCTGGTAGTGCTTACAGGCTGTGGAGCTGGGAGCAGCTCTATAAAGGGGAGAGAAGCCATCTCTGTATGTAGCTACGAGGAGTAAAGTGATTTTTGAGGGGCTGCGAGTTCCTTGCCCGTAAGGGGCAGCTGCTACTGATCCGCAATGACTGATGGCTTTCAGGAAAAGAAAAGTCCAAGATCTTCTTTGTACATACAGTTGTGTCCAAAATTATTCAACCCCCACTGAAATTGAGTGTTTTGGCCAGTTTGACATTGCTTTTGATCATTCAGTCATCTTGCTTACATTTACATTAAAGAGGCACTTGTAGGTCAGACAAATATAACATAACAGTTATAATGAAATAACCACAAATGTCTTTTCTGTGCTCACAGCATTATCAGTTTTATTCAACCCCCAAGTGACATTCAATCTTAGTACTTAGTACAGCATCCTTTTACAGTTATAACAGCTTTTAAACGTGAAGCATAGCTTGACACAAGTGTCTTGCAGCGATCTACGGGTATCTTCGCCCATTCTTCATGGGCAAAGGCCTCCAGTTCAGTCACATTCTTAGGCTTGCGCACTGCAACTGCTTTCTTTAAGTCCCACCAGAGGTTCTCAATCGGATTTAAGTCTGGTGACTGCGATGGCCACTCCAAAATGTTCCAGCCTTTCCTCTGCAACCATGCTCTAGTGGACTTGGAGGTATGCTTGGGATCATTGTCCTGTTGAAAGGTCCAACGTCTCCCAAGCCTCAGGTGTGTGACGGACTGCATCACGTTTCCATCCAATATCTCCTGGTACTGAAGAGAATTCATGGTACCTTGCACACGCTGAAGCTTCCCTGTACCTGCAGAAGCAAAACAGCCCCAAAGCATGATTGACCCTCCACCATGCTTCACAGTAGGCAAGGTGTTCTTTTCATCATAGGCCTTGTTCTTCCTCCTCCAAACATAGCGTTGATCCATGGGCCCAAACAGTTCTAATTTTGTTTCATCAGTCCACAGAACACTATCCCACAACTTTTGTGGTTTGTCCACATGGCTTTTGGCATACTGCAGTCGACTCTTCTTATTCTTTGGAGACAGCAAGGGGGTACGCCTGGGAGTTCTGGCACGGAGGCCTTCATTACGCAGTGTGCGTCTTATTGTCTGGGCTGAAACTTCTGTACCCACATCTGACAAATCTTTTCTCAGTTCCTCAGCAGTCACACGGGGACTTCTCTCCACTCTACGCTTCAGGTAGCGCACAGCAGTCGAAGTCAGCATCTTCTTTCTGCCACGACCAGGTAGCGTTTCAACAGTGCCCTTTGCCTTGAATTTGCGAATGATGCTTCCTAAGGTGTCTCTTGGTATGTTTAACATCTTTGCAATCTTCTTATAGCCATTGCCCTTCCTGTGAAGAGAAATCACCTCTTCTCTTGTCTTCCTGGACCATTCTCTTGCCTTCACCATGTTTGTAACCACACCAGTAAATGTCTAGAAGGAGCTGAGTATCACAGTCATTTTAAAGCTGCCTAATTGGTGCTTATTATGCTTGATTGCTGCTCGGTGACATCCACAGGTGTTTTCAATACCTGATGGAAAGCACCTGTATGAACCTCTGTTCTTCAGAGTGGTAGTCTTTAAGGGGTTGAATAATTGTGGCAATGAAGAAACCACATAAGAACCATTTACTACTGTATTACATAAACAATTGATGTCATTTTAGTTGCATTTGGGTAGTTACAACGTCCTTGTAGGATTTGATTCTGAATACAATTCCAAATGTACACTATAGTCCCTAAACCCCTTTACAGCATTGGGGGTTGAATAATTTTGGACACAACTGTAGGAAAGAAGTGTCCTCCTTCCTTAGTTTCAAGTCAATTGGGCCGTCCCATAATCCCGATTTCCCTATCCAAGTTGAATTCCCCTAGTACAACAACAAAACCAAGTTCATGGACTGGTCGCTGGCTTTGGATGCAAGTCTCTGTTGCCTGGCTGTGCGGAGGGAAGCTTAGGGATACCCACAATACAGCGTCCCTCACGAGGGTAACGCTACACCAGTTTTGACCAGTATTGTATTCAACACCCCCATACAATAAGTATAGCTTGCTCTCCAGTAGGGAAGACAGAACAACAAAGGTTCATTCACATGTTGGCTCGGATTCCAAAATTTACACTAATGACAGGTCCTCCTGCCACTTCCGCCGACTGTGTAGGTTCACCGTATATTTGGCTCATCTCGGTGTAGGGTGTAAACAAGTAAGATGTGTCAAGTGCAGAATATTTGATGAATTTATTAGTAGTATGAAAAGGAAAGTGAGGCAATTCCAGAGAACGCTGCGCTCTCTCTGTCACGTACAGCAGTACCTATCTGCTTTAACCCATCAGGTATGTGAGTGGGGCTAAAGGGTTCATTTGAGCCCGGGTTCACATTAGTGTGGTGCGGTAAATCCCATGTGATTCGCACGGGAACTACACCGCATTCCTGTACAAATCACATGTGATTTGTGTGCTGTGTGATCGGAGTCGTACATTTTGTATGGCTCTATTCGCACCCGCACCAAAAACGTACAGGACCCTTTTTTGGTCCGCACTAGAATCGGATCACACGGGTATTCACACCTATGCGATCCGATTCTGCAGATCGCACCGCATTTTACAGACCGCTTTCGGGGTGTTGTTAACTTAACATACACACCCACATCGGTTCGCATGAACGGGGTGCGATTCTGATGCGGTGCGGAATTCGCACTGAAAATACTGTGAATTCCCCACCGCATCAGTGTGAGCCAGGGCTAAAGGGAGATTTTTCTTTTAAGGCCCCTATAATACATTTGCATCCAATGAAGTTACAATCAGGGGCGGACTGACAACTCATGGGGCCCCCGGGCAATAGGGGATCATGGGGCCCCTGTGTCCTTGCCCAAACTCAAAAAAGCCTATGAAAAAGGTACCAGGGGCATCTCATGGGGCCCCCTACGGACCCAGGGCCCTCTGGCAGTGCCCGAGTTTCCAAATGGTCAGTCCGCCCCTGGTTACAGTAACACATGGAGATCTATTCATTGAAAATACACAATATTAGCATGACAAACATTCCCACAGCTGCAAGGAGAAATTGCTGTATGTTGTCTAATACGATTATCTCATGTGACTGTAAGTGCCATCTAGTTGTATTTTTCCGGAAATACCTTAATCAGGAAAAAAAAAACACATTATGGCCACTAGATGGAGCTGACAGTCATAGGAAAAAAATCATATTAGACAAAATACAGCAATTTTTCATTGCAGCTGGTTGTGAATGTTTGTTATATTTGTAGAGAAAATGTTTTATAACTAGACCCCGTGGTGTATGTATTAAGATGTACGCACATGTTCATTTCAGATGGCACTTTATTGTGCATACACATTGAAAACACACATTTGAATCTTGGTCAGCGCAATACATGCAATAGAAAACAGATGCGCTGCCTTGTGGTGCACTGGAAAAAAAAAGCCTGAGCTCCAGTCTAGTGACTTTCAGATGGCATCTTCAGCTATAGCCGGCAGTGTATTTAGTGTATTCTGACAGCAGAGAAGTTTCCTTGCTATCGGAAATACAACAGTTCAGTGGGAGGGATTCCTCCATCCACATCGAGTGTGTGGATGGGAGAATCAGCATGGCCGGATCTGGGGAGGGGGGGGGGGGTTGGTGCTGGGGTGGGCTATGCCAGATTTTAGTTGCGCCCCCCCCTCCCAAAACCAACCCTAATCTGCCACTTTGATGTCCCAAATTGACACAATACCACCCTAATCTGATACTTTACCGCCCTAGTTTGATATTATACTGCCCTAGCCTGACACTATACTGTCCTTCACTGGCATTATACTGATCTCAGCTATGCATTGTGTGGGGAGGAGGAGCTCTGCTGCCTGTGCTCAGTCTGTGTGCAGTGCGGGGATGGGGGAAGAAGTTGGGACCCCTGTCCTCTGCCCTGCCAGCAGTGACACCTGTCCTCTGCTCCGCTAGCAGTGACCCCTGTCCTCTGCCCCGCCAGCAGTGACACCTGTCCTCTGCCCCGCCAACAGTGACACCTGTCCTCTGCCCTGCCAACAGTGACCCCTGACCTCTGCCCTGCCAGCAGTGACCCCTGTCCTCTGCCCTGCCAACAGTGAAACTTGTCCTCTGCCCTGCCAACAGTGACCCCTGTCCTCTGCCCTGCCAAAAGTGACACCTGTCCTCTTCCCTGCCAACAGTGACCCCTGTCCTCTATCCATCCAGTAGTGACCCCTGTCCTCTGCCCTGCCAGCAGTGACCCCTGTCCTCTGCCCTGCCAGCAGTGACCCCTGTCCTCTGCCCTGCCAGCAGGGACCCCTGTCCTCTGCCCTGCCAGCAGTGACCCCTGTCCTCTGCCCTGCCAACAGTGACCCCTGTCCTCTGCCCTGCCAACAGTGACCCCTGTCCTCTGCCCTGCCAACAGTGACCCCTGTCCTCTGCCCTGCCAACAGTGACACCTGTCCTCTGCCCTGCCAGTAGTGACCCCTGTCCTCTGCCCTACCAACAGTGACCACTGTCCTCTGCCCTGCCAACAGTGACCCCTGTCCTCTGCCCTGCCAACAGTGACCCCTGTCCTCTGCCCTGCCAGTAGTGACCCCTGTCCTCTACCCAATTTTCATGTACTCTTTAGGTACTCAATCAGGTTTTCAATATTATACTGACATCTAGTGGAGTTGCTACAACCTGTTACCTTCCTCTGTCCTCCCTTCCTGTTTAGTGCAAGTTAGTTAGTTTAGTCCTAGCTAGACCCTTCCCATTTCATCCATGTTCATTTAGGCCCCATTCACACCTGCATGGTATAATGCTTTTTTGGCATGTTTTTTTTCCTTTGTTGTTGTGTGACAGCATAGGGCAGCTGATTCACTTGAATGGACTGCCCTACGCATGACAAAACTCAAAAATTAGCTCTTGCACCCTTTTTTTTGTAGGGAGCCTTGCACATTTTTTTAAATGCACATTTTTGCGTGTTTTGTCGTGTGACTGCTGCCTGTGTTTGGGGTGCCATTAAGAATTAAAGGCAACACAAGCGTGATGTGCATTTTGGTGCTTTTTTACGTGTTTTTCAGCACCGACCTAAAAAAAATGCATTCTGCATGCATTCCCAGAACGCTGAGGTGTGAATGGGGCCTCAGTCAGTGTTCATACCTTGCAGAGCCTAAAAAAGTCATTGTCTTCTTACACATCAAAGGACTGGAAAACATCCTCTATACTGCAGTTAGCTGACGTAATATTGTGTTGCACTCAATTGCTGTGTCTTAATGTAAGAGTTAAGCTGCCTGTGGATGGTGCCAAGTCAGCAGGTGACTATACTGTCCAGGCAGGCTGGATTTGAGGAGGTATGTCACATAATTACATAGTCTGGTTGAAAAAAGACAAAAGTCCATCCAGTTCAACCAATAGAAGGGAGAAAAAAAGCTATATACAATCCTATATACACAATCCTGAACTCACAGTTGATCTAGATGTCAGTGCATAAAGCGTAATTTGAAACAGAACAGTTTCCGTACATTTGCTTGTGGGCTGTCACAAAGTAACACTTTATTCATTTTTATTAACCATCACAGGTTGAATGACATGTTCTGCATCACAACGCACTGCGATGAAAAAAAGTTCTGCCTATACTACTTTTTTAGTGCAATGGTGTGAACTGAATTTATAGGACTCAGGGCAGATTGAGAGATGGGTCATAGGGGATGTAATGTATGTAGAGGAAATCACCCACCAACCACCTTTGTACCTAAGGATTACTCACCGATGAATCTCAAGGTTATCCCCCTCCCCCAGTGTTTGCTGTGCGCTGCCCATTAAAGCGTATAGGAAGTGTTTACCGGTACAGCGGTATCCCATGAAATGTTTTCTAAACAGAAAAGAACATCGAGATTCAAGCCGGTCTCACCCAGCACCACCAGACGATAAACACGCCTGTACCCAGACAGGTGCTTCTGAGAATCGCTGCGTCCCCTTCTTGTTTGCTCAGTGTGGGGGGGGGGGGGGGGAGAAGGAACTTGTGATGGCCAGGAAAGCTCACCTCTGACACATTGGGATTCAGGATTCCAAGAGTTTGGGAGTAAAAGCAACCTTGTTGCTAATATCCAAGTGTGATGGTTTTATTTTTTTCCTGCTGAACTGCAAAGGACAATTAAAGAAAAGTTCTTCATTCAGACACACTGGATTGTGAAGCACTGAAGTCTGCCAAGTCTTCTCTCAGCAGCTCAGCTTCCACTACCAGCAGTGACACAGCAGCTCAGCTCATCCTTCTCCCCCTCCCAGCAGTGACTCAGCAACTTAGCTCACCTTGCTCCCCCTCCCAGCAGTGACTCAGCAGCTCAGCTCATTTTGTTCCCCCTCCTGGCAGTGACACAGCAGTTCAGCTCACCCTGCTCCCCCTCCCTGCAGTGACTCAGCAGCTCAGCTCATTTTGTTCCCCCTCCTGGCAGTGACACAGCAGTTCAGCTCCCCTTCACAGCAGTGACTCAGAAGCTCAGCTCATTTTGTTCCCCCTCCTGGCAGTGACACAGCAGTTCAGCTCCCCCTACTCCCCCTCCCTGCAGTGACTCAGCAGCTCAGGTCATCCTGCTCCCCTTCCCAGAAGTGACTCAGCAGCTCAGCTCACCTTGCTCCCCCTCCTGGCAGTGACTTGGCAGCTCAGCTCACCTTGCTCCTTCTCCCGGCAGTGACTCAGCAGCTCAGCTCACCTTGCTCCCTCTCCCGGTAGTGACTCGGCAGCTCAGCTCACCTTGCTCCTTTTCCCGGCAGTGACTCACAGCTCAGCTCACCTTGCTCCTTCTCCCGGCAGTGACTCAGCAGCTCAGCTCACCTTGCTCCCTCTCCCGGCAGTGACTCAGCAGCTCAGCTCACCTTGCTCCCTTTCCCGGCAGTGACTTAGCAGCTCAGCTCACCTTGCTCCCTCTCCCGGCCGTTACTCAGCAGCTCAGCTCAGCTTTCTCCCCCTCCCGGCAGTGACTCAGCATCTCAGCACACCTTGCTCCCCCTCCTAGCAGTGACTCAGCAGCTCAGCTCACCCTTCTCCTCCTCCCGGCAGTGACTCAGCAGCTCAGCTCATCTTGATCCTGTTCCCAGCAGTGACTCAGCAGCTCAGCTCCCCCTGCTCCCTCTCCTAGCAGTGACTCATCAGACCAGCTCATCCTACTCCCCCTCCTAGCTGTGACAGTTCAGCTTGCTTGAAAAAGAACTGGCTGAACACTATAGAATCCCTTATAGGTAGGGCCATGCCACCCATGAGGCCAGTTGAGGCAGCTACCTCAGGTGGCGCTCATGGATACACAATGGGGGGGTGATACAATGCAAGTTCAACCCCTGCGCTGCATAGCTTTGACCAGTAATGCTGCGCGGTCCTGGCAACTGAGGATGCTGGGCAGCCAGGCCACCAGTGTTCTAGTAACCAAGGATGGTGGGTGACAAAAATAGCATCCGCCAATGGCATGGCCCTGCTGCTAAGTAAATCTTTATTGTCCTAGACAAAGTCTCACTTCGGACCACCTTCCTTCATACATTATGCCTAGGGATGAGCTCAGTGTTTGGTCTGAACGTACAGTACATACACATACTAGGGACAATTTAGACTGGAGCCAATTCACCTACCAGCATGTCTTTGGAGTGTGGGAGGAAACCAGAGTACCCAGAGGAAACCCACGCAGGCACAGGGAGAACATGCAAACTCCAGGCAGGTGGTGCCGTGGTTGGGATTTGAACGAGCGACCCGAGTACTGCCAGGTGGAAGTGCTAAACATTTAGCCACTGTGCTGACCAATCATTGCCTAAATATAGCCACATGGCAGCTGGCCACCGTCACGTCCTTACCAACCACTGACATCATCCGGACCATTCACTTACATGGCTGGGAATCCAAAGCAAATGGGTGGGGAAAAGAGTCTTACATCATTGCCTAAATGCCCTCTGAAAAGCAATCCACTTTGTTTAGCCACACAAATGAACAAACCCTCAATGCTTCATATTGGCCATTGGGGTCCTGAGGTGCCAAGAAACACAATCTGCATGGAGATTGTAAATTCTGTTCACATCTGTGTGGGATTGCTTCTCACGACCCAAAGCCATACCTGTAGAATAATGAACCTTAACCCAGATTGGCCTCAGTATATGAATGGGCAAGGTATGCACTACATTAAAAGGTGGCACGGCTGAATGTAAATGCATGAGTATTATATAAAAGAATAAAAGAAAAAAAAAAGGAAATAGAAGGTGGAATCGAAACGTGACATTAGCAATGGCTGCCTGCTGAGTTTTACTCCCTAATGAGTAAAGTTTTACCAAGGCACGGCACTGAGCAGGCACTGTACAAAAAGTTATAGAAACAAAAAGTCTAAATATAACTCCAACAATTATGAAATCTGACTACGATTCAGTTGGTACAGCGCGCGTTCTGCACGAAAAGACTCCGGAGAGTGATTCAGTTGAATGACAATTTCCCTGCTTATGTAACTTTATTTTTGAACACCAATTTTAATTCTAACAATGTAAAGTAAAAAATAAAAAAAGACTTGAAATCTCGGGAGCTTCATGGCGGAGGTTGGTAAATTTATCCCCGTGACGCATCGTGCAGTTCCATCGTTGTCCTTTCCTTTGGGAGGGGAATCATATCAATCTATTTGGGCTTATATTTAACATCTGTCACAGGCTGATGGTCGGCGTGGTAGCTGGGGAATCCTTATTTGATTTTTGTGTTCTCATGTTCTTTTAATAGATTATCTGCATTCACTTATTGTCTGGTGGAAGGATCTGCACTTTTGCCCTTCTGGAACTTCCCTCACGACTGGAGTTCACAAAGTTTGAAAAGTGCTAAAGTTTTAAAAAATAAGAGAATTACATTGATAGTTTTATCTAATTCCAGCTCTTCCATTAGTTCTAATTTTTGCTGATGATATGGGATAAGGGTTTGAACCAGTTGTAATCTATGAAAACCACAGTGAGACCATGCAGAAAAGAGTTTGAAGATGACCTTACAGAACAGGCGCTGAAGGAGGTCAATGCTCAACCACTTTCGAAACACATAATCCATAGCAATAGTGCTCAGATCTTCAAATTACATCAAGTTATCCATAGAAAGCCAGGCATTGACCAGTATGAATAAACAAAAGTTGGGACTTGATGCAAGTGCTTCTCTTAGTTCATCCTGAAAGTGAGCTCATGCTTCACCCATGTAGGGTCAAGCAATAGGTATCATGCCCGTAACAGCCCCTAGGCAATTCTCACACCTAAGGCCTACAGTTAAATGTTTCCAGTGATGGCTGGTCCAAGACGCCAGCAGCCATTTTTCTGGTTCAGTATATTGTTCAAGGCAGCCCTAGGGCCATGTTGGGAATAACACGCTTACACACCTATGAGAGGCCTCCGGTGGTTCCACTTCTTCTCTGCAGTGGTTGCACTGTACAGTCAAGATCCATGAGATATGGACGTCCAAGTTACAAGGCTTACGCACTCAATGGAACTTTCCAACCACGGAGGCAGATCCAACTTCCATTAGGCTACCACTCATTTCCCACCTGAATAGGTTGCAATGTCCTCACACCCCGAGTATTGGCTTTATTGAAGCTCATGGCCTCAACTTACCACCTTGAAGGCTTGTTGTGGCCCATGTGTAGGCAGGTGCGGTCTCTTTCCTCCACTGCCGATGCTGTTCAACCACAGCGATATTGTAGAGGGAGAAGTCAGGAGGAACATACTCCTCAATGGTTTCCTGGGTCTCCGGGGAAGCAATCTGGTTGGATGCTACCACCCCATGTGACTCTGGCAGCCATCTTGGGTCAAGCAGAGTCTATTTAAGACACTGGCCCATGGGCTTGGCACACATTTTGTGTGTACACAGTGTTGGGACTGGTTTACAAGTCTGTCAGGAAAAGGGCATAGTGGTAGAGAAAGGTTCTGGACGAGTAGAGATAGGATAGGGTCACAATATCCTCCAGAAATCCTACCAATTGGGAACAGACTGGCCAGGCCACAAGCCACCCTATAAGACAGAGGCTGTTAACGCATCAGAATTTGCTCCACTCTACATCATTGCGCAGAACTGTGAGTGTTCCCAGTCACGCACCTTCACACTGGGCTGTTTGTAACTTTGGGTCATTACTTCAATATAAGTTTTGTCATTTGCAACCAGATTCAGTGTATTTACTGCCATCGCACCACGTTGCACCCACCCACACGTAGTTGTTACCGCTATGTAATCTGTTATTAGGCCTCCTCCCGCTCTTTGTCATCTGGAACTGGAGGTGCTGGTGGTGGCTCAGGACCAGGGGCAGACTGACCATTTGGAAACTCAGGCACTGCCCGAGGGCCCAGGGTCAGTCGGGGGCCCCATGAGATGCCCCTGGTACCTTTTTCATAGGCTTTTTTGAGTTTGGGCCCGGGGGCCCCATGAGTTGTCAGCCCGCCCCTGCTCAGGACCCAGTAATGGTAATCTCCCATAGAACCAATAATGCTCTTTTTGTCCAGCTTGCTGGGTCTCTCCAACAGCCGTACCCTCCGATCAGTAGTGGCAGCCCAGTCTCTCTCCAACTTCGAGGCGAACACTCACATCAGATAACTTTCCAACTCAGCAACCCAGTTTCTGGTCACCTCTCAGAGCCTGGGCTTCCCTTTCCTTTTCCTACTCTTGCAGCTCCCTATCCTCCTGGGACTTGTAGTCATATCCAGTTTTTGGCTTGGCAGAGAATGTCTCCAGGGGACTACATCCCCTATAAAGTTCCCAGCAGTCTGTTTTCTCTCCCAGGCTGCACAGTAGCCTATCACAGTAGCCTATCATGGTGGGTAGGGTCTCCTCCACCAGCTGTGGCTGCAAATGCAGCCCTTTCAAAACATCCCTCGTCCTCTCTGTCCTGTTCTCCCCACTCCTCCATTCACTGGCAACCAGGGAGAGGAAGAGGAACCGTGTGGGTTGCAGCAAAACTACAAATGGCACCCCGGTCATTTGCAGCAGAGGGCAGGTGGGCTGCAGACCTGGGGCTACACTACAAATCACTCTAGTTGGCAATCATAACTTCCATGGAGCGGTACAAGCGAGTCTCCCATGGCATTGTGGGAATTGGCCTTTTTATTTCTGGGTAACACCGGCTCAGCTGTTGCATCCAGTGGAAGAGGCATGGTCGTAGACAAGGGATTGAACTCTTTGCATGCAGATGCCATTTATAGACACGAGCGCACCATTAGCGTAGGTTTACTTTTATAGAAGGAATTACGCATTTATTGAAGTTTAACGAGCTTATGTTATGTTGTCATTTTCAATATAAAATGATTATATTGAGCAAAGTCCTTTAATCCAGGTGACTATATTAAAAAAGGAATCAAACCTCTCAGCTCCATCGCTGTCTATTCAGGCATAGCAATAAACAAGGCTTTTGAATCGTTTTGCGCATCTCCCAAAGCCCCAGATATCTCTAACAACCTCAGTCATTGCATGCAACTGTTATTACAGTCACGCCGCGAATGGTCCTTAAAGGAGATTTATGTGAGGAGGCGCTGCCTAGGATAACACAGTTTTTTGCGAGTTATCGGATCTCATTCAGACAATAATCCATCCCCCAGCAGGATAAGCAGATGCTGTTCGTATTAGCAGATGGAAGGATGAAGAATAACTTTTTTTTTTAGAAACTTAAGATCTTGAGCAATCACATTGACGTCTATTGTAGATGAAAAATAACTAACTAGCGAACCGTTGGCTGATTTAAAGTGAACCCGTGCTTAGCCATGGCCAGCCAAAGTAACAGGTCCTCTTTAATGTCGCTCTCTAAAACTGGCTGTAACCAGAAGATTTCCGATCGAACCTTCGTACAAACATTTGTACCTTCGAAGACTTGCCAAATGTCCTTAGAAAGTACTTCAAAATGTAATTTTTTTTTTTTAACATTCGATTTTGGAAGGAATGGACTTTGAGAAAAATTTTCAAAAATTGAAAGAGCACTCGTAGAGCAGAACACAACTCAATCAATATTAACTATTTTTTAGTTCATCTGTAACTAGCATTGGTAAATAGATAAGAAGATATATTACACTTTAGTGGTCTCTAAACTATGGCCCGGGGTTCGAATGTGGCCCTTTTCTTGCCTTCATCTGGGGCACTTTTCTTCTCACTGATACAAGACATTATTCCTTCCACTGACACCAACAACAGGGCATAATTCCTGCTACTGACATAAAAAATGGGCACTTTTCCTCCAACTGACAACAACGATGGGGCAATATTACTCCCACTGACACCAGCAATGAGGCACTATTCCTCCCACTGACACCAATGATGGGGCACCATTCCTCCCACTGACACCAATGATGGGACACCATTCCTCCCACCGATACCAATGATGGGGCACTATTCCTCCCACCGATACCAATGATGGGGCACTATTCCTCCCACCGATACCAATGATGGGGCACTATTCCTCCCACCGATACCAATGATGGGGCACTATTCCTCCCACCGATACCAATGATGGGGCACTATTCCTCCCAGTGACACCAATGATGGGGCACTATTCCTCCCACTGATACCAATGATGGGGCACTATTCCTCCCACTGATACCAATGATGGGGCACATTCCTCCCACTGATACCAATGATGGGGCACCATTCCTCCCACTAATACCAATGATGGGCCCTATTCCTCCCACTGATACCAATGATGGGCCCTATTCCTCCCACTGATACCAATGACGGGCCCTATTCCTCCCACTAATACCAATGATGGGGCACTATTCCTCCCACTGATACCAATGATGGGGCACTATTCCTCCCACTGATACCAATGATGGGGCACTATTCCTCCCACTAATACCAATGATGAGGCACTATTCCTCCCACTGATACAATGATGGGGCCCTATTCCTCTCACTAATACCAATGATGGGCCCTATTCCTCCCACTGATACCATTGATGGGGCCCTATTCCTCCCACGGATACCAATGATGGGGCATTATTCCTCCCACTGACAGCATCAACAGGGCATAATTCTTGCTACTGACATAAAAAATGGTCACTATTCCTTCAGCTGACACCAACAATGGGGCAATATTACTCCCACGGACACCAGCAATGGGGCACTATTCCTTCCATTGACACTAATGTTGAGGCACTATTCCTCCCACCGACAGCAATTTTGGGACACGATTACTCCTACTGACACCAGGGTTGGGGCACTATTCCTCCCACCAACACCAATCTTGGGGCACTATTCCTCCCACCGACACCAAGGTTGTGGCACTATTCCTCCCACCGGCACCAAGGTTGGGGCACTATTCCTCCCACCGACACCAAAGCTGAGGCACTATTCCTCCCACCGACACCAATTTTGGGGCACTATTCCTCCTACTGACACCAGCTGCAAGTCCAAAACTTTGTGGAGTGGAACAGGCTCACAACTTAAAGCTGAACTCCATTCAAACCAAATATTGTCTAGATACAAGATCTATATGTATGCTGACTTTAATCCTGTGCTATGTGTGCATATCTTCCAGATCTGTGCAGTAATCCATCATGAAACAACTTCTACACTTTGCTTCTGTGCAGGAACGTCCTGTACAGTGGCGGACTGACCATTTGGAAACGAGAGCCCGGGGTCAGTAGGGGGCCCCATGAGATGCCCCTGGTACCTTTTTCATAGGCTTTTTTGAGTTTGGGCAAGGACACAGGGGCCCCATGATCCCCTATTGCCTGGGGGCCCCATGATTTGTCAGTTCGTCCCTGGTCCTGTAATAAAGACAGGTCACTGTAGCTCTTTCCCCTTGTGCAGGGTGACTGGTCTCATCTCCGCCCCCTTCTGTAGTTTTCTGCAGGGAGCCTCTAGTGGGTGGGGCCTGCTGGGCCCCTCCCACAGCTCTGCTCTCTGCGCAGGCTATGTACAGCACAGTGATGATGCCATTGCTACTTTTACATGGTGATATCTAGGTTTGTAATTTCATCTGGTCCAACCAAAGTGGATTTATAAATGTTGTGCCTATTGAAGAATATAGTGGCATGACGATTTTTGTGCCCGGAGTTCAGCTTTAACATTGTGAATGAAAGAAGGAAGAAAAGGTTTTTATTTTATTTTCTATGTGTGATAGGTCATTATATATCAATGTTTTCAGTGCTAGATAGCCAGGCTAGAGTTTTGCAGCATCTCATATTAAAAATCGAGAGGAAATGAAGGCTTTGTGTACAATCATTGGGAGATTTGTAATTGGTGTTTGATTTTGCGCTGGGAACACGTGCCGTGGCGATACACATGCATGCATGCCATGTGACTTACATGGTGACCCCTCGTGAAAAAGGCCAACACTGCAAGGAAAACATCATTACAGCCTCAATGACAGACAGCTGAAAAGATTTTCGTACTTTTATAGAGTCAGTGAAATGTCACGCCAAGTTCACATGCACGCCTCTGCAGGAGCCCACGGCTTTGAACCCATCCATTCATCCTTTAAGGGTCCTGATCCCTTGTTGTGTGCAGGTGAAAAGCAACAGGAAAATAAAAATGAATTTATGATTCGGTGACAACTTTCTCTCTAGCAAGTCTTACCAATTCTAAGAACAGCTATTTGATAAGGACGATGTGACAGTAGAATATGACGGGACCTAAACAGAAACTTTAATGGTATAGAATGCTGGGCTTTCCAACAAGAAAGCCCAGCCCTGCCTTTTTGGTTTGTTTTTTGGTAGCCTGTGTGAATTCACTTCATGTGATCTTCAGGACTTTTATACAGGTCATTCAGCCAGGGCTGCTGTTAGAAACCACGGGGCCCCAAGCAGTCACTGCCCCCCCCCCAAAAAAAAACACAGTTTACTATGCTTCAGTTCAGGGGCGTCCCTAGGGTTGGTGTCACCCCGTGCGATAACACTTGGTGACCCCCCCCTCCGACGACCCCTGCAGAATGGATCGGATCTGCGGATTGAGCATAATGGATTGGAGTCCGATCCATTATGCTCAATCTGCAGATTCGATCCATTCTGTGGGGATCATCGGAGGGGGGATCACCAAGTGTTATCGCACCGGGTGACACCAACCCTAAGGACGTCCCTGAACTGAAGCATAGTATTTTTTTTGGGGGGGGGGGGGGCAGTGGCTGTATGGGGCCCCGTGGTTTCTAACAGCAGCCCTGGCTGAATGACCTGTATAAAAGTCCTGAAGATCACATGAAGCAGATCTGTGGATTGGGGAGCATAATGGATTGGACTCCGAGCCATTATGCTCAATCCGCAGATCCGATCCATTCTGCGGGGATCGTTGGCTTGCTTTACAACTTATCTTTTCGTGGAGCGGGTCCGGAATCACCCCGCACCTGCCTAGGGACGCCACTGCTTCAGTTATGAACACAGTGAGTGATCGGTACCAATCACTCATTGCATTAATTCAGTGGACGGTAAATGTGACATATTTACCGGACCCTTCCCCCACTCTCCATCCTGAATGTTCATATTGTGTGATTGCAGCTACCGGTGGGAAGGAGAGGAGACAGCACTGTAGGGGTGGGCACACATGGGGGGGGGGCTGGGCAGCAGGGGGAAACATATGGTTC